GGGGGGGGGGGTGGTCGCCATCTTTCTCCCCACCACCACCAAGGTGAGTCCTCAGAGATCCCACCATGGAAACCACAGTGGAGGCGGGACCAGCCTACACCAAACCAGGCGTATCTACTGGGTAACTGCATATCTACTGGAGAGGGATAGACGCTTTGGAGGCAGTCGGCCCCCTCCTCCAGACTAGCACTGCTGCATTGCCTGGATTAATCCTAGGATAATTCTTGTTATTTAGATATATTCTCCCTTCCATTTCTCCTTCTTATCTCTTCCCTCCTCCAGGCTGGCTATTCCGGTTATTGGTTTGTTTAAACAGACATATTTAATCCATTCTCTAGATACGTGTTCTACACCTCATTTACTTTCCTTTCTCTCTCTCTGGAAAAATCATGTCTTCTAGTTTCTCTGTCTGGGTAATATTATCTTTGTTTCTTTTTCCTCACATTCTTCCTTATTTTCCTCTCTCTCTCTCTCTGGATTAAGCCTTTTAGTCTCTCTGCCTGGTCAATGTTTATTTTTTCTCCCCCCCAACGCCCACCCCTGTCATTTCTCTCTTTGTATGTGTTCTTCAATCAGTACCGCCTCCACCCTGCTCTTTATTTGTAGCTGGTGTTCCTGGTATTTTATTTTTGGATTGTTTTTAGTTTTTTGTTTCTGTTTGTTTTATTTGTGTGTTTGCGTATTTTTGTTTCCTGTTTGTTTGTTTGTTTGTTTTCCTTTCCAGGGCTACTTCAAGGAACAAATCAAAGCACACCTAATGGAGAGTCCAAAACATCATTACGAATAGGGAAATAAAATAACCAAAGTCACAACAGAGAACAAGTAACACACTCCAAAAAACATCTGAAGAGCCAGGCCCTGGACAGTGTATGACCCCCCTTTAATATAGCAGTGCTCACAATGGAGAGCATATAACAAGCTTTTAAAATTCATAAGGGACAAAAAACTAGCCAAAATGATGATACGGAAGAATTCTCCTCAAAAGAAATTCCAGGAAGAAGTGACACTAAAGAATGGATCAAAACAGATAAAAGCAACATAACTGAACAAGAATTTAGAATAATAGTCATAAAATTAATCATTGGGCTTGGAAAAAGCATAGAAGACAGCAGAGAATCTATTGTTGCAGAGATCAAGGAACTAAAAATAGTCATGATGAGTTAAAAAATGCTATAAATTAGGTGCAAAACAAAATGGAGGCAGTCACAGCGCGGATTGAAGAGGCAGAGGAGAGAATAGGTGAATTAGAAGATATAATTATGGGAAAAGAAGAAGCTGAGAAAAAAGAGATAAAAAAAAAATCCAGGATCACGTGGGGGAATTAGTGAACTATATGATTCAATCAAGGGAACAATATCCGTATCATAGGAATCCAGAAGAAAGAGAGAGAGAGAAAGGGGCTGAAGGTGTACTTGAACAAATCATAGCTGAGAACTTCCCCAATCTGGGGAAGGAAACGGGCACTGAAATCCAAGAGGCACAGAGAACTCCTTTCAGACATAACTTGAATCGATCTTCTGTACGACATATCATAGTGAAACTGGCAAAATACAAGGATAAAGAGAATTCTGAAACCAGCTAGGGATAAACAGGACTTAACATACAAAGGTAGACACATAAGGGTAGTAGCAGACCTATCTACTGAAACTTGGCATGCCAGAAAGGAATGGCAGGAAATCTTCAACGTGATGAACAGGAAAAATATGCAGCCGAGAATCCTTTATCCAACAAGCCTGTCACTGAGAATAGGAGAGATAAAGGTTTTCCAAAACAAACAAAAACTGAAGGAATTCATCACCACTAAACCAGCCCTACAAGAGATCCTAAGGGGGATTCTCTGAGTGAAATGTTGCAAGGACCACAAAGTACCAGAGACATCACTACAAGCATGAAATCTACAGATAATACAATGACTCTAAACCCATATCTTTTAATAACAACACTGAATGTAAATGGACTAAGTGCTCCAATCAAAAGACATAGGGTATCAGAATGGATAAAAAAAACCAAGACCCATCTATTTGCTGTCTAAAGAGACTCATTTTAGACCCGAGGACACCTTCAGATTGAAAGTGAGGGGATGGAGAACTACCTATCATGCAACTGGAAGTCAAAAGAAGGCTGGAGGAGCCATACTTACATCACACAAACTAGACTTTAAATTAAAGG